ATTTATGACTTGAACAGCTGGATCCTTTTAACAATATAAATAAACTCAATTGAGTACATTTTTAGCTGGCATATCACTTTTTGTATTATCTTTTTGTTTTACAAAGAAGTTGGAAATACTTTTTCTAAGCTAAGTTAACTCTATTTCTCTCTTGTATACACACATATAAAGTAGGACAGAATGAAGACACTTAAGTAAGGTAACTCCAAATTGCACTTAAGTACAGTGCTTGAGTGTATGAGGCCAAAAACTTTACATTCCACCACATTATATAAAACAGAAGCTCTTGTTGTTTGGGATAAATACATAAGAGGCTTCCTAAAGTTAAAGTGTGATCATTACCTGCTTGTGTCACCTGACACCTGATGCGTCTTGCAGGTATTTTTATAACTGGTTTGGCAGCAGATTGTATTCAACCCATTCCCTTTGACAGCCTTTCTTTATTACCTGCTTAATCTTTCTATGCTGTCCAGATTGACCCTCTGATGTATGAAGAGCAGCTGCTGTGGGTGAGCGGGTCCCAGGGGGAGGTGGACACCTTCAGGATCCCGCTGATCACCTTCACATCCAAAGGAAGCCTACTGGCCTTTTGTGAGGGCAGGAAGGCGTCGGCCAGTGACACAGGAGCAAAGTTTCTTGCAATGCGGCGGTCAACAGACAAAGGCAGGGAAGACCACGACAGTCATACAAAACAATAAACACATCAAAAGCACATAGCCTGCACACACACACACACACACACACACACACACACACACACACACACACACACACACACACACACACACACACACACACACACACACACACACACACACACACACCTGTATAAGTAAAACAAAACTTGAATGTAATACATTTGGTATAAATAAAGTCAGAATATAGCTGGAATCTTCTCCTTTTCCTCCTTTGGCCCTCAGGAGCCACATGGTCCCCGACCGCCTTTATAGTCGATGATGGTTTGAAGCCAGATGGGCTGAATCTGGGCTCGGTGGTTGTGGACGAGGAAGTGGGCTCCGTGATTCTGGTCTACTCAATCTGCTTCCATGAATACCTTTGCAAACCTTCCAGCACCATGATGGTTGAGAGCCTGGATGACGGCCTCAGCTGGAGTCTGCCCAAAAACCTGTCGGTTCAGCTGGGAGTGAAAGCCTTTGTTCCCGGGCCGGGCTTTGGCATTCAGGTAAGAACACAAAACCATTTCATGTGAGAAGCTGTGGCTGAGCTGTTTTGTAGTTGTAAAGTTAGTTAACATTCAAGCTAAATGTCACATTTGCTTTATTGCGATTTGTTGCGAGCAACTTAGTGATTGACTCTGATTCTCAAATGCATTTTGTAAGTTGATTTAACTTCAGGAAAAGAAGAAGTGCTTTTTGTATACTGAATAAACTAGATACTTCAATCAAATTAGGAAGTGAAAATTATATTTGTTCTAGATTCACATCTTGTTTTGTAAAACTAGTCAGCATATAAAGTAGCAGTATATGTCAAATGTTTGCAGAGACACAATTTATTATTTAAATGGGAGATTTTTGTAATTGTGTAAATTAGTGGTTTATCCCTTCTACTGTATATAGCTATTATGAGCCATTATGTTTCTGCAGAATTTTGCCAGTTGTTAGGGCAATGGTAATCTTGTCTTATTTTAATATCAACGCCTTTTTTTTTTTAAGATTCAACTTCATACTGTTGTTTATTGTGTGCTGAGTCTGCATTTGTTGTGTCTTTGCACTGCAGAAGCGCCATGACCCAGCTAAAGGAAGGTTGGTGGTGTGTGGTCATGGGACATTGGCGGGAGACGGAGTGTTTTGCATCCTGAGTGATGACCACGGACGTAACTGGTACAATGGCGCCCAGCTGAAAAGCATCCCTTACAACCAGAACAAGAAAGCACTGGACTTCAACCCTGATGAGTGTCAGGTAAATTGCTGCAGCCATGTCAACTGAAACTAAATCAATTGTGGTCTAAGAGAGTTTGAGACAAAATGATCATATATGTTCACAATGGTTCAATTTAAAATATCACCATTTTCCAAATACCTCCACACAACTATATATACATATTGACATTAAAAATCTTTATAATATTATATCGCCATTCATAAGTGTGTTTTTATATTTACAACTAATCAAATATTATATGTAATGTGAAACTGACAGAGAATTGCCACACATTTTTGCAACCCTGTTTTAGCTTTGACCTTGTACTTTATAAGTCTCAGTGCTCCTATAAACCCAGTTTCTAGCAGCTGTTTGCAGGCATTTATAAGTATTAAACATATGACAAGATTATATGATGAATCCACTGTATGCTGCCTTTGAAGCAACAAACAGCAGACACTCAAATTAGAAGTCATTTTTTAACAATTCAACAGTAGTTAAATGCAGTAAAACAAAGCAAAAATCGAGTGCATATCCTACTTAGTCGAGTAACGCTTGACTTATCTGTTAGTGGTTTTAAGTATATTAGTTGATCATAAGTTTCTTATACAAAACAGAAAAGAAGCTGTGAAAAATGACTTGTGAAATTATTGGATCTTTGAGCCAGCGCTCTGCGACAATTTTCTGTTATGCCAAGGGTATAGCACTTCCGACTAGTGGAGTTCTCCCTCAGAACACAACGGCACAGCCATCGCAGAGTGGTTTCACTGGTCATGTGAAGGCAGCTTTAGCCATAAAAACGTTTAGTAGGGCTAATAATCTCTCAGCATTTTGTTGAGTTCTTCTGCCCTCTAGTGGGGAAAAGATTTGCAGCTGTCAAACGAATTTTTAGTAAAAACATGCAGTTATCTAAGCCGTCATGTGATGCCTCCATGGCAATCATTTCCAAGGTTTTATAATTAATCTAACACTATATAATAAATGTTCATATCATAAAGAAGGACTAATTCTCTCTGCTCCTCTGCAGCCGATTGAGTTGACGGACGGCACCATTGTCATCAACGTTCGAAACCAGAACCGCTACCACTGTAACTGTCGCATAGTTGTACGCAGCTATGACGGTGGGTTGACTCTGCCCATAGACAATCTGTACTTTGACACTGAGCTGGTGGATCCTACAGTAGCTGCTGGAGCTCTGCAGAAAGACGGAGTGCTCTTCTTCACCAACCCCTCCAGTGATCAACACAGTAAGAACAGCTAAGAGTATCTTATTTTTCCTCAGATGTATCCCTAATACTTGGATGTAAAAGTAAAAATACTCTGTTTGTTACAAATAAAAGTCCTTGATTCAAAGGTTCCAAAGTATGTTAAATTATATACTCAATTATGTTGCACTGCTGCTGCTTTCCTTATAGGCCAACAAAAAAACACTAATTTACTTTACATTAGACAAATCGTCTTCGTAAAAAAAAATCTTCAGTACATCATAATAACTCCTAGCCTTTTCCCCCTCAGGAATTAACCTCACCTTACGTTGGTCGCTGAATAATGGCCATTCATGGGTAAAACAAGCTATGCAGATTTGGGCGGGTCCAAGCGCATACTCCTGCCTGACATCACTAAAAAGCGGTTCTGCAGAGGACCAGAAGTTCATCTATGTCATCTATGAGAAGGGCCATAAGGACTATGACGAGACTGTCTCATTCGTCAAGATCCACCTGTATGGTGGCCGGTAGGGCATGTTGGTGGAAGGTAAGCAGGCAAGTAATTAAAATCAAAAGGCGTGAAAACTGATTTCTATAGTTTGACTTTTGTTATAATTTCATGTTCTGATTGTTTCCCAGATTCAAATGTTGGAGTGAAAGGGAAAAGGAAGCTGTTTTTTTCCCACAACTTTCTCAGGAAAATATAAAGACTTTTTTAAACTCACTATGAAATTGAAAATGGGAATATGAGCGACTGAGCCCCATGAAACAATGAGAATGTTTGTGTTTAGCCTGTGATATTGTAAAAATGAAATGTTCTGCATATTTTATCTTTCTTTTCTCTAAGATTCCCACTATATATGAGACTGTATGAATAATGGACTGTACATTTTTCTGGGTGTGGGATTTGTCCAAAAAACGTTTTCTGTACAGCTACAATGATTGGTTGTGTTGCGACACAAAACGAAAACATGACCAAGAAAGGTACAATTAAATGTTCAACATTAGTTTCCAAGCAACATGAATCGAACTGTCTTGAAGGGAACAGCATCATCTCGCTATTATACTAAATGATGACGATTAAAATATCACACCACAGTCTTCCATGAAGAAAAATACTAAGGGCATCAATCGCTAATTTATTTTACAAACTGTCAGATTCACTGCAGGTTTGACGATGGTGTTTAGCCTTTTGCCATATTTCCTATGGGGTTGTTGACGTATTTTAGAGAAAAAGAACAGTTATAATAAAAAAATTAGGTCTGTGTGATTGAATGTATGCGTGAAAATGAGCTAATCTGTTTAGGATCTCATTATGATACCAAAGTGTCCTCTTTTACACTGAACTCGTTGAAACATTTTTAAACTATTCCTTGTATTATATAATTTTACACAGGGTAACAATACATTGATTTCAAGCATCTGAGTAATACACATGTTTTTCTGACAGTTTAAAAAACGTTTTCTTTGTTGGCAACGCTGAGCAGATTTCCGTTGTCATGCATGATTAAGCAAGGCAACACTGACCTGAATTCACAAAAACCTTAATAGAGTAATTGGTACTTTACATTTTACAGTTATAAATTGTATGTATGTGTAAATGTCCTCTCTGTGGGACGAATAAAGGTATTCTGATTCTGATATGTCACCTTTATTTTTGCATTAGGCCTATAACTGTTCAAATCTCAATGTGACTTGTACCTGCTCAATTAAAGGATAAATTCATATCTACATTTACGCCTAGTAATTGATCATTTGGCAAAATCCAGATTACAAAACATAAATCAATATAAACAGTAAATAAAAAATGTGGTAAAATGTGCAGTTAAATTATAATTAAATTGTCAAGACACATTTTTGGTGAAATCTTAAAATCTGGCTATCTTTAAGTTGTTTTTCATGATAACTAATGCAATTAAGCAATTGAAAGCCCTTCCCACAGGATAGACACAGTACACCTTCAATTCGTGCAAGTATGGATTTTGTAAGGATAATTTAATCAAAGGTGGCACTTTGTAGTCAGATCTTCTACTTAAGTAAAAGTAGGAAAACCATATAGGAATAGGCCTACTGTTACAAGTAAAAGTCATGTATTCAAAATGTTACTCTAAAGTATAGCATCTTTAAATATACTTAAAGTAAAATTTAAAAAGTAACATTATGAAGATTGGCCTGCTTCAGAATCATATAATAAATGTTTCGGTTATAATTATTGATGTGTTTGTCAAGCTGGTAAACTTGAAACTAATGTCAGCTAATTGTGAATTTAATCGAGGTGTATCTAAAGTATTTTTTAAGTGTTGATCTTATTGTTAATAATTAATCTATATCTGCAAAGAAACTAAAGTTACTAAATAAACTTAATGGAGTAAATGTACAATATTTAACTCAAGTAAGTACAGTACTTGAGTAAATGTACTTAGTTACTTTACACCACTGAATTTGACCAACTGTAAACTTTGTTTCTTTTCTGTAACCACAATATACATATTATATTATTTTTATTGAAAAAATGATCCTGTATGGATCATTTTTTTTTCTGGCTGACTCTATTTTTACAATATGGTGCAATATTTACAATGTTTGATTTGGGAGTAATCCAAGGATATTCAGATAAAAATGTTAACAATCACAAAGATTGCCTTGTACCTTTTTCAGTAACTCAGTTAATTTCAAAGTAATCTGACCAACCCTTCACATTTTGGAAATCCCTACTTGTGACAGTTAAAATAAATTGATAAATTAAATTTAAAGAAACTATAGCAAAGCACCTTTATTTGAATACATATTCCATCCACAGTAAAGTTAATACGTAAACGTTTATTCTAAAACGTCTTTTCCTAACTGTCCCAAACGGCTTCCATCTCACGAAATTACCCAGTAGCCGTTGACGGCTCTTTAGGTGACGGATCGAGTCCAGTATTACAATTTTCTTTTACCCCTTTTCCTTTATTTTTTGGGCCAAAAAAAGAGAAAAGGATTGCAAGTAAGCAGCCGAACACCTTATTTGTCTGTATGGTACAACTGATTTCTTTGTTGGTACGATCTACTGCAAAGACCGTATGTGTTTGACTATGCAGGAGGATAACGTTGCTTAGTTAGCTGGGTCACTTGCTAGAAAGCTACAAGATAGCATTAGCTAACCTCATTCTGCGATACAACCTCGAGACAAGTCGGGACAAGACCAGGTCAGTGGCCGGAAAATGTTGCATGTTTTAATGCAAACACCGATTAGATACATTGAAGTTGGCAGAAATCCTCACTATTAGCCTTGGACACAGGTTTTTTCTAACCCGTGGATGTTTAGCGGAGGGGCAGTCTTATTTTTGTGTGTCTTGGTTGTTGTTGCTTGTTAGCCTAGTTTGGCTAAGTGCTTAACGTTTGTCATAGCAAAGGATTGAGTTGAATAGTTGTTTTAATCTCCATATTTATATCACATTTCTGGTGAACCTGGTTTAAAAGTTAGCTCTTTGTTGAAATAATTTAAAATGTATGTTTTGCTAACGATCCACTGCGTAGCTAATGTTAGCGGATACACGTTAGCGCAGGATGCTTGCTAAAACACTGTCAGTCTGCGATACATTGGCGTTTTATTTTCATTTATATATTTCAAAACGATAATCCTAAAGGTTCCCCTTATCCAGTGTCTGTATATATATTAGCTGTATGATGGAAAGTGTGCTTTGTAAAAGCGAAGTTATGCTACACAGTCGGTTATATTAACGTTAATATGCACCGGGCCCGTCTACACCGCCATTTTGTTTTGTTCTCTTAATAAAATCGGGGTTTTTTCAGCGTTTTCCTTTGCCTCTTTCAAACGATAAATAAACATCAACGTCGGTGATAACGCCCATTCGCGATGTCGCTGTGTGATTCAAAACGCAACACCTCGCAGAGTTGAATAGATAGAAGCTAATGTTACCGCAAGGTGTTGAGAAAGCATTATGAAACACCAACGCAGTCCCCCTCCCAACGGGAACACCAGGGCCCTGTGTTAGCACGCTAACATAAATTAGCACCGCAATAAAGATGTATTTTTACACCTGGGGCTTCAGCAGTTCGATGTTTGACTATTTTGTGGCAAGTGCATTTGCTACCGGCTGATTTTGCATTACTATGTTCGTGTTTGTGGTTAACGCTAGCTTCGTTGGGCCTCTTTGTGGTAAACGTTGCTGCAGTTATGGCTTTTTACCAGTGTTGGCCCCCGTTAATCCCCATACAGCATGTAGTTGACTAGCCATCCCACGACCTAATTTTCTAATCTCATTTGACTATTGTGGCACGGCGCAAATGTGCTACCGGTAGCCATTTGGTTGTTTAGTGTTTATTATGTTGCTGCTCGATGTGTGTGTGAGTATTGCAAACATCGTGCGTTTTGGAGGATTATCTGTGCGCAGTAAAGGCTGTTCGTTCGCGTTTTGTAGCATTGCTTATAATTCTGCTTTCATATTCATATATCCTGATTTAAGTTGTTTATTTGACTTCACATATTCACACCAATGTTGTTCATCATATAGCGAGCGATATGAGCGTTGTTAAAGCCATCTTTTAAGAGAGACTTGATGCTCTGGTTAACTGTTGATATCATGATTTAAGGTACAACATACTATTTTTCTTTGTATACATTTAAATGTTGATTGGTTATTTATAACACCACACAATATATGTAGCTAAAGCCTTAGCTCACCTGTACAATTGTTCTTCTGGCAAGGAACCATGTGGATTAGCTCCCATCTTTTCATCAAATCATTGAAAGCTAGTGAACAAAATTATGTTCTTTTTTTTGTTATTATTAAACCAGGTCAAAGGATTATACACGCACACTAAGAACTACACTTAAAAATTCATACCTATGGTTTTTGTCCTTTTAAGAGTGCCATTTAGGACAAAAGTTAGCTAAATATGCATAGCTACAGCCATATATATAGACTTTCATATATAAATATTTACAAAAAAACACACATGATATATATATACACATGTTCCAGTTACATTTTGCTTTTTAGAAATGTAATCCAAACTTCAATTGACTTGTCGAATTCCAATGTTATTTTCAACTCTAGCCTGTTCCCTGACTCAAACTAAATTACTAATGTTATTTGTAGAATAATAATCTGATGAGCATCATCTGTTCTCAGTAATTGTTCCTAATGGGAGTAGGATGGAGTGGGTTCAGTTGTTTAACCTGCTTGATGCAGCCAAATCACTCTGAATTGGACAGATGTCAGCACTGTGTGTTTTATTGATGTGCAGTAAAATTAGTTCAAGCTAAAGGCCTGGCAGTTGCCATGGAGCCAAGAGATGGCATAGAAGAATATCATTTATTATGTGTTGCCATAGAGACCATGGCTCAGCTTTTTCCCTCTTTTGTACAGTGTTTCTTGTAATAAAGTGTGTAGTCATGCACTGTTCTAGTTCTGTTCTCATTAAACTGCATTATAACTGCATAAAATAGATTATGTGATTTAAAAAATATACCTTGATATCTTCTGGCAAGCACACATGATCCAAATGTGGTGAAGTAGAATCCATATTGTTTAAGTGGTTGAACTTATACCATCATTTAAATCTGAGTTGTGTTGAAATGCAGAAATGTGTTTACCAAACTGGTAAATGTAGAAGGCCAAAGCATTCCTTTGTCAATGTCATCAAATACTTTATTAAACAAAATGTATCGGATGAAAATGAATAAAGGATGCTGGCATTAAAAGATGTTTTTTGTATATTATTTTGAATCAATTTAATTTGCAAGTACATCATTTAAAGTGCACACTAGTCAATAAGACATTTCTGTGGTTTTATTGACTACCTATATAACAGGTTCCACAATGAATACATATTGCATTGTGAATGGGTAATTAGTGGAATTGTTGGCAGTATTTTCGCTTCAATAAGTCAGAAAAGCCTCAAATCTTTGTGTGGATTGGTATTGAGTCTTTATAGTTGTCACTAGAACTGGGTGATATGGAAAGTTAAATACAACTGTATTTTTTTAAGAATCAGTGTTTCCCCTATATACATTCAGCAGCGGCGCTGCACCGCTGCTGAATGTATGCACGCCGCTGCTAAGAGTCGCCAGCGAGGTATATCTTTTTTTTATTCATTAAAATAATAATACGTGGCGCTCGCGTCATCGCCACGGAGGAGCACACAGCCTCTGTGAGCTAGAGAGAGCACACCTTTTATCTATTTAATATAGTTGTAAAAAATAAAGTAAGAAATCATTCCAATGTGTACTATAGGACAGTACAACATTTTTAAAAGGGGAGTGATTAGTAAAATATGCATAAAGAAAAAGATAGAATGCTAACTAGGTAACATAAGATAAGAATAAACAAGTTTAAATGATTTTAATTTCATTTGTATTTGTCCCGCTCATGGTACGCAAAACTCAATGTACAATTATGTAAATAAATAAAAATAAATAATAATACATATAAAAATAATATTATTATAAAATTTAAAAATAAAAATATAATTTATATTTATTTATTTATAATATATTAAAAATATAAATTAATTATAAAAACAAATAATGTACAATAATCAGTGTTAGGCAAGTTACTTTTAAAAAGTAACTAGTAATAGTTATAGTTACTGCTCTAAAAAAAAAATCTTTCCCCGTCCACGTATATTCTAACAAAGAAGAGGGCGAGGAAACAGCGAGCCTTACCCCACACAACATCTCGCTACAAAAGAACCGTTAATAACAGTCACAACCCTGATTGCGCAATGTTTCATTGAATGAAAAAACGGCATGAATATCGCCAAATGAGCAAATGGATAAGGGTACATTCTTGCGCAATATCATGACACTAAATTTAACCAACAAATGACGCAATGTAATACAAACTAGGTTGACTTGGCTTAGATGGACGCCTACATTGAATGTCCCGCTTATGTTCAACTACAGCTCTCAACCGCCGCAGAACGGACATCCAACCCTTTCATGTCTGTCTGGTCGTGTTTGTCGAACCGTTGTGTTGTGTCGTATGTGCGTTGCGGGTGGTCGTGTGTTGCAGCGTGTGGGGTTACCGTTCTACCCGTCATAGTCGCTCTCGTCGTCGCCGTAAATGTTGGACACCTCCTATATTCGGTATAAAAGTTAAACACCCCTATTTCCTGCGTTAAAAAAAATGCCATATAATTTAGTCACGTGATGAAGTCTTGAACTAACAACTCCGAAGTTATGTTCTCGGACAGTTGTAACAGCTTTGGTATTGTATATAAAACACTAAAATACACAACGTGATGTAAACGTAATTACCTATTAACGCATGTTTACTACCCCTCAACAGAAAAGAGAATGACACGGTTGTCTTGTTGTGTTTTTGAAACATAAAAATAACAATAATCAAAAATTTCATTCTCATTTCATTGAAACAATGATCAATCACAATACTTAAAATCATTGATTATTTCATTGATCA